TATGTGTATGTAAACATGAATTAGTATGAATGATTTATGATAGCGATAAACTAAATCTGACTCTAACATACTCAATGTATCATTCGACTAGCTTCATATAAATTCTATGCATCCTGATAGTAGAGTACGATCAGGTTTGGTAATAACGAGACAACATTTATAATGTTTCTCGGCAGTAGCAATTTTGAAGTATTGAAGAATACATCAAAAACTAGTTTCTGATTGAACATTACTGTTGACCATAAAAAACTAACTCAAAATGACTTATTTTAGCTAAAAACTGAAACTTTGCTCATAGGTGCCAAAGGTTAAAATGCAATCAGATATATAATAATTTGTAGAATCTTTTTTAAGCATCTAATTCTCAGTATCTCCAAAAACTAGTTTTTGTCTAAATACAAATCAAAGTCCATTATTACCTTGGGTACATAACAATACAGCAACTTGCGTTCTCTGTCAATTAAAACATGTTCCAAATCTTTGCCTGTTAAATCTTCAAATTTCTTCCCAGTATTTCCTTTATAAAAATCGCACATCCTCTGAACGTACTCCTGTCTAGCCAAATTAACACTTTGTTGCAATTCTGCTCCATGATGATTTTTAAATAAATGGCAAAATTTAAGACACGAACAGAATAATAAAATCGACAAGATTGAGGTTAATGTCGCCATGGAGAGCGTTCGACTGACATTGCGCAAAATGATGAAGATAGGTACAAGAGGGAAGGGAGAGAGCAAGATGGAGGACAGGAGATATGGCGGGGAATTTGAATTGCGAAAGTGAAAGTAATAAATAAAATTTATTATATTCTATTTTTTGTATTTAAGTAGCTTTTATATATGTACTAATGTGTTTTTCATATTATTTATTGTTAATATACCTAATATTATTCACTTAATATTCAAGGATGCAGAAAGGACTTGGCGGCCATTTTGAACTGTCAAAGTGGTAGTTTGCATTCAAATTATTTCTGTTTGTTTTGAATTTTTATGTACTAATTTGTGTTACTTTATTTTATTTATTATATTTATATTTAATAATTATTTAATCATTTGCTACAACACACGAACCTGAAGAAGATTGCAAAAAAAATTGTCAGTACCAATGGCGCCAAATTCAAACTGCTAAAATTTGAATTTGGCGTTTGAATTTGGTTAGTTAAAGTCACAAATTTTATTTAAATAACCTACAGAGCAATATGATATAACAGATTCTCATTATCATTCCACATTGCAGTGTCCAAACAGTCTCTTTTTATTATCAATAAAATGTCCATCACTGATGCATGATTGTAATTAAATGTTTATAATTGAAATATTGAAATTAATATAATAGCTAGTATTTATTATTTGCTAAAACCAACCTGAGATAAGAATGAAACAAATCAGCACATGAATTTTATAATAAAAAAATCATATTATATTTAGACATTTTTTATATAATTACTTACAAAATTACTTATTTATATAATTATATAATTACTTACAAAATGTAACAAATTTATAAACTAGTTTAAATTAAACAAGGTTAAAACTAGTTTACAAAAGTTTAAATAAATTATAAAAGATTTTATCTTTAAGTTCTTATTCGATTCGTACATTTTAATTTCATTTTTAAAAAACCTTACATTAATTTGTATTTTCAATTCGCATACAAACCAAGACAGCTAGTATATATATATATATATATATAATGGAAAAATCAGTATATAAATTTATATATCGAATTCCCATACAAATTAAGTCAGCTAGTATATATAAACACGTATAAATCGATATATACATTTATATATCCAATTCCCATAAAAATTAGGACAGCTAGTATATATATATATATATATATATATATATATATATATAATAATGGAAAAATCGATATATAAATTTATAAATCCAATTTCCATACAAATTAGGCTAGGTGGTATAATCATGTATAAATCGATATATACATTTATATATCCATTTCCCATAGAAACTGGGGCAGCTAGTATATATATAATCGTGTATAAATCAATATTTAACTTTATATATCCAATTCCCATACGAACTAGGCCAGCTCGTATATATAAAATCATGTATAAATCGATATATACATTTATATATCCAATTCCCTTATAAACTAAGCCAGCTAGTGTATATATAATCATGTCTAAATCAATATATTCATTTATATATCCAAATCCCATACAAACTAGTATATATATATATATATATATATATATATATATAATCATGTATAAATCGATATATACATTTATATATCCAATTCCCATACGAACTGGGCCAGCTAGTATATATATAATCCTGTATAAATTGGAGAACTGTCAAGACGTCGTTGGCGCCATCTAACACAGAACCATATGAACCCGGTAGTCACTACGTAGTTCCTCACGAACTGGGAACAATTTTGCATAGAGGCGCTGCATGCAATCGCCTTAGGAACAGAGGAATCTTATTGGATTCCTTTATACGCTATTATATATAATTATGGTCCCAGTTTAGAACTAATATCATTATATACATTTATATATCCAATTCCCATACAAACTAAGGCAGCTAGTACTCAAATAATGATGTATAAATCAAAATATAAATATAAATATCCAAATCCCATACGAATTGGGCCAGCTAGTATATATATAATCATGTATAAATCGATATATACAATTATATATCCAATTCCCATACAAATTATGCCCAGCTAGTAGTCCATATATAATGATGGAAAACTCAGTATATGAATCCGTGGATAGGTGAATCCATGGAATGGATTTTTAAACTGAATTAATTTTAAACTTTAGTAAATATTTGAAAACTCTTGGGTTTAGAGTTTTATGGATAGTAGTCGATGGATTTCTTTCTATTCTTTAATTTTCTTTTTATTTATTAATGAATTAATACTCTTGACACTATTTGCAGTATGCTGAAAAAAAATTACAATAATCCGAATAGAATTGCCTGAATATGTTCTTGTTAGCCTGAAAAAAATGTACATAGTCTGAAAATGTTCTGGATAGTGTAAACATGTTCTAGATAGTCTCCAAATATTCTAAATTGTCTAAAAATATTTAAAAAAGTCTCAATAAGTATATCTTTTTCCATAGACTATCATTTTTTATATCAAATAGTACTAATTGTACAGAGTTGTAAGATGTTGTTAATTAAATACATATTATTAATGTTAACGTATATATTTCATTCAATTTGAATACATTAAATTTATAGTATATTGATAAAAATAAATCTATATCTATTTGTATGTATGTCATAAGTAATATAAAATAAACATTGATCTCTACTATATAGTAACAGTAAGCAAATCAAACTAGAATATCTCAACAATTGAGATTTATATATATATATATATATATATATATATATATATATATATATATATAGTTTATAGTTTAACTCAATCGAACACTAATTTCTAATTGCATGTTAATATTTTACACAAATATTTAAGTTATGATTAGATTCAATTGTGTCAGAACATTATGGCACTTTTGATCTTAACAATATTAATATTTTCATATAAATACTATATCTGTTACAAATGATTCATTACATTCGTTTACAAGAATTACTCGAGTGATATAAAAGTAAATATAACACATATCATTTATTATAATTAACTAAAACTAGCCTTTAAACATTCACAATCTTATGAAAGATGCAAAAGATAACATCCTTTGTATCTATGTACATCATAGTATTATGAATGATTAGGATATTTTATTTCAATAGGTTGTTTCATTCAAATCATCTTCATCGATAGATTCCTAAAGTCTTTGTTAGAGATGCATGGTCCACTGTATAAAGGTTTCATCGACTCGAAAGAAACTCAAAAGTCAGGATTGTTAATCGAAGATAGGAAATCTGGGCTGGAATATTATTCTGGAATCCTGGTCTTGAAGCTTCTATAATAGAAAAATCGAGTTGTAATAATAAATAATAAATTATACTAAAACTATATTCTTAGAAGTAATACTCAATTAATTTATACATATTGTTTACACTTAAAGAAACTACAAACATCTTTTAAATATAATAATCTCTTAAATATAATAAAAGTCATCTTTCCTGCATGTAAAATAATTTTAATTAATTTTCTCAAATATTGAATTTATATAAATAAAAACAGTTTATGAATATTTTTTTATATATTCAATGCCCATGGTAATAATGCAATAAAAATATATCTTATAGTGTGAAAAGTTCTTGCTAAAGATAACAAAAAAATAGTTTTCCTAAAATTTCTTAAAATATATATACAGTACTTTATAAACTACATATATATAAAACCTTTAATAAAAGTATAAATTACTGTGTATAACGCAGTTAAGTACTTTAGAATAATTTCTTTGACTTTTCTTTTAATGCAGCTCAAGAATATATTTTTCTATATAAGTATTTTATATTTATATATAATTTCTTATACTTGTTGTTAATAAATATTGTATTAAAATATAATATCAATGAATAATAATGTAAATCTATGTGAATATTAGTATGTATGTATATAATATACAATTTTCAAAATGTCCCATCGGCAACCGGTACGCAAAATGCGCACTGACCTGAATCGAGCTGTTATTTCAGGTTGAAGTGAAAATGGCGTACCGGTTTGGCCTGGGACAGAAGTCCTTTGGATCGAGAATTTGATTTGTGATATTTAATATATTTAATAATAATGTATTTATATAAGTATACATTTGAAGATAAACTAGTGGTGTATGGCATCGTGCCTTAAGGCAAATTGCTGGAACTTTCCGTACCGTAATGAAATGTTCGAGAAATTTTAAACGTTTTCAAATATTTTACTACAAATACTGTCTTTCATTATTTTTGCATTATCTTGTTATATATGAGCAAATCAAATGTAAATCATAAATCAATTCAGTTTAATCTCCAGAACATTAACAATCGTCATTTCATTTCGAATTCAATTTCAACAAAAAAATAGTTGCCTAATTTATACAAAATTGAAAAAGTGCTCTCGTATAGTCACAGTCTAAACGCATTTGCAAATAATTCTGTGCGACACTTTCACTTATTATTCAATAGTTTTCTCACAAAATTGGAAAAGTACTCCAGTTCATAAACAGACTAAACGCACTTGGGTAAACATTTGTACCAGAGTGGCGCTTAGACTGTGCTTAGTCTGGGTGATTTTTTAAATTTTTAATACAAAACTACAAAAATATTTTATGGAAAATAAAAGTAAAATAACTTACCCTACGGGAAGTTAAATAATCGATGTAAAATATTTATTTAGTTATTATTTTAGATTCTATTTTTGATATTTATCAAAATTTAAATAATACATGTCCAAGGCCCCATAAAGTTGAAGAAATTAGCATTTGTTGCAGGTCGAATTCTTTTTTAAGACATTACATAATTGTCATATGTTGTATATATGTTATTATGCTACTTCTCCAAAATGTGTGCACGAATATTTAAATATGCAAATCGTATGTTTTATATGTACTATTAGTCCAAAACTAAATATAAATGAAAGATAGAGTGATCGCCTACGAATGTTTACAAAATGTCATAGAAAAAGACAATTACTTTTAACTTGTCGAAAGAAAGACGGGACGTTTCAAGTTATTCTGAATTTCTCGGGTAAAAATTTGAAAAAATATGTATTTGTAGGTAGTAGTAGTAAA